ACAAGCGCGGGCCTGGAACTTAGGTGGGGAGGCTGCTGGAAGGCGAAATAGATGAGCTGCCGGACCTCACGAACGCCGAGAAGATAATGACCGATTTCAAGCTGGATGAGGAAGATGCCAGCGCATTTTTCAAACCTTGTCGCATAGGCTTTAGGGGGTTTAGGGGTTTTCGGATAATACCCCAACAATGGAACATCAAATGGAAAATGCAAGGGAAACTAGGTTTACGGATGGGGTTACATGGTAGTTTCCCTAAATAAGGGACCCCAGTGTTGACCCCAAAATAGTATAGTCCTTATTTTAGGAGCCGCATCTGTAACCCCTATATAACTCTTTAGAAGGGACCCCTTAATTCTGGGAAACTCTCATATCCGGCCGAGCTGAGCCAGCTCGGACTTGAAAATATGTTTTCGGCACAAGTCAAAATCATTTCCAAGTTGTTTTAAAATTGGGTTTAGGGTTCAGGGTTGCTTGATCAGTGCAGCCCGCCCCCCAAAAGGGAAAGCGTCTAATCCAGATTCCGCAGGTAATAGAGCCTGTCCATTTCATGTAAAAACCTCTGGCTGTGACATCAAAAGCATTTTGGCCTCATCAAAACGCAGAACATTTTTCCGGCAGAGACCCCCAAAACGAATTGGGGTCGAGAACTATTTTCTGAAAACTTTATTGCACTAATCAGGAGTGAACATTATTCTATGTTGCACGGGAGGAAATTGAGTGAAACACGCGATGTGGTGTTTATTGTGTGTGTGTGTTGTATTTTCCATTTTCTTTCCTGGGTAGGCCCCTGGGATATTTCGTATTTCCCCGAACGGCTTCAATACAGGACCCTATGTATTAATATTTTTGAATGGGTTTTAGGGGCCAACCCAGCTTCTAATTCTGGAGTCCGGGTCCATCTTCTTTGGCCCTACCACCAAAAACCGTAATACTTTTGCAAAAAAATATCACCAGTATGTATGTGTCAACGCTTCGAAGCTCTGGATTCTGGGACCACATCGCTGGGCTTCCATAAAAACCTAGGACTCTTCAGAAACAACAAAATATCGAAAACGCAATCTTGTCATATGAAAATTGCTTGGGCAACGTTGGCAACTCATTGTGTTGCAGCTACCTCTAAGTCTAAGCTGGCTGCCCAGACGTTTATGCGCAAGCTTGATTGCACGTCTGTACTTACGCCTGGTGCGGAAACTTTCTCCCCTTGCCCTTCTGAGCATGATAGGTCCATGGTGATCCCAAGTTTCCATCTGGTAGATTCCTAAATAGGGGGAGGAACCCAAAATAGACACCAAGAGATCATAATCCTCGTTATGGGGACCCCCAAAATGGTACCCCTAATTTTGGGAAGCCCCAAACCCTAAACAGTAGCTTCCATTTTCATTTTCTTTATTCCTACATAAACCCTATATAACCCCTAAATAAGCCTTAACAATGTACCCGTATTCCACAGATGATGTTGATGCAACATCCTTTTGAAGCATCACCACACTAGCAGGATGCCTGCTCAAAGATGAGGGAGATCATCGAAAAGCGCTGCTGGCTCAGGGGTTAAGGTTTTACGGTTTTAGGGTTTTAGGATTTAGGGCTTAGGGTTTAGGAAGAGACAGAAGAAGAGAGAGAGGGTTTAGGGTTTTAGGTTCAGGGTTTTAGGGTTTAGGGTTTTAGGATCTTAGGGTCTTAGGGTTTGGGGTTTTAGGGTTCAGAGGCAGAAAGGTCAGAGTTGAGCACCTCAGGAAACAAGGGTTTAGGGTGTTAGGGTTTTGGGTTTAGTTTAAGAGTCGCAAGAATGGCCTATCACAAATTCACTTGGTTGTTCTCAACCCCCCCCCGGAAGATGGTGTTAATGGAAAAGAAAATCAAAACGATAGGGATTATATAGGAGTTATATAGGGGTTGTATATTGGCCCTCTCAACCGCTGAGAATGTATCTTCAATGTTCCCCCCAGCAGGCTGCACTGGCCATGTAGTCGGCCCCCCTTTGTAGCCGACACATCTAGTTCCACCTCAACCAAGTGAAATGGTGGCGTGAGCCTGGAGCGTCCTGCTTGATCATCGCCCAGGCTCTGCAGACGAAGAACGTGTCCTGACCTGCGTGCGCAAACACCTGAAAAATTCTAGCAATGCTTCCTCCATGCTTCTTGGCGTCACATGCACATGTCCAACAGCTGTTATGTTGTCTGAATGCGTTGAAGATCCGAACATGTTCTGTGCAAACCCGTGAGGTTTCTCGAGTAATGGCAGCAGTCGTTGAGGCTTGCAACGTGCCCGGTGCTCTAAGGTTATGCAAGATTGCCAGGCAGCTGATTGACGGAGGCGATCTGCCAGACCCTCCGGAGCGACCACAGAAGGGCAAAGGTGGCGGCAAGGACGGCAAAGATGACGGCGAGCGTGGCGAACGCAGCCTGGCTTGGGAAACTGATGCTGGGAGAGGTTTGCCTTCAACCACTTGTCCATCCATGCCAGCTAAGGCAAAGACCGCGATGGGGACCGGCATCATGACAGAGACCGCGACCGCAAACCCTGCTGCAACTACCTGTGTTTGAAATGAAAATTGCTTGCTCATACACATTGCAGAATGGGTGTGTCACTCAGGCAACGACCGAGGCCATAAGCGCGACCGGAGCCGCAGCCGTGATCGTCGGGATCGACGTGACAGTCGTGGCCGGTGAAATCTGATATCAAAACTGCTTGAAACATATTTTCCGCGTCCTACATCAATTTCAGAAGTGCTCGTGCAACGCGATGCCATAGCGCTTTTTGATATTCAGTCACGGGGCCAAGACTGGAGGGGGAGTGCATTCCTTGGATCACGTTTCGTGCGTTTGCCGGCTTTTATGGCACAGGGACGATTCGGGCGGCAACTTGCCTCCTAGCGTCACGCACCTGTGTTCAACCGGTCGGTTGCTGAGAGCTGGGTCGCGCTAGAGCACTGCTCTTCTCTGCAGCACATGCAAGCTGTCCATGTACCGAACTTGGAAGGTTAGACAGCTCAAAGCGACCTAGTCCCAGTGTAGTAGCACAAGCTCACGCAAGCGAAAAAAAGCCGAGGGATGAGAAGCTATGGCATATTCACGATCTGTTGTCCAAGCATTCGAGACTTAACCACTGCGCACTGCTTGTAACCTGTTGTTGGGTGACCACAGCCATGGAGGGCTGTTCCTGCACAAATGGGTAGTTCTCCGAAAATAAGGTCCCATTTCGGAACCCCTAAGTTCCCTAAGTATTAGGTGCCGTAATATAACATATAACCAGAAGGGCCCATAATTTTGAGAATAACCCAAATGTTTTGCCACCTTGAACCCTAACCCCTTTGCACTTGCCCCAGCTTGACAAGCAGGAGTTCCTGTCTTGCAAGTGTGGCTTCACGTGACCTGGCATTGCATCCATGATGTTCTGAGCTCTCCCCACCGGAAGCAAGGAAAAAGTAGTTTCTCAAACGGGGGAACCCAATGTAGACCCTCAAATACTATACGTCGTCCTTATTAAGCGGGTCCCCAAAATGGTACCCCTGAATTGGGGGCAAAACCAAATATCAAGAACAAAGTGATGGGGACTCACCCAAAGCCTATCTTAAGCTTGCGCGCTCCTACGTCCCGGTCTTACTTGTGGTTAGTACGGCATTTAGGGGCATATAGTGCATATGTAATCCCTATGTAATATTTTCCCTCATTCCCTCCTAAGCCTAAACCCTAAATAGTAGTTCTTTTGCATTATCCGTGTAGAACTCCATAATAAACCCTATATTCCATACCGTAGCTGTCCTGATGCCAAGGATTGGCAGAGGATGCAAACTACTGTAAATGTGCAGTGGCTGAGAACCATTCAAGAGTTCCATTGGTAGGTCCCCCAAATAGCTAAATAGGGGGACCCCAAACTTGTTTTATCCTTGTTATACGGACCCCCGGAAAAAAGGATACCCCTAATTTTAAGAACCCTACAATAGATCCCCGTAAACCCCGAAGAGCCCTCTAATTTTGGGAACCCCCCCATTCTTGATCTTGTCGGCGCGTTCTGCTAAGGTGTGGGACGCCGAGCCTTGGTGGCAATTAGGGTTTAGGGAGTAGGGCTTGGGGAGTAGCAGCAATACTAGCACAGCAATCGTAAGAAGAGTAGCAATAGCAATAGTAGAACTAATAGTATACCTGTCTTCCGGCAAATGAATTGACAACCAACTTACGATTTTCCGTTTTACCTATAATGACATTATGAGACTAATAGTAATCATATAACAGCAGTAGTAAAAGTAGTAATAGTGATAATGGTGACAACTGTGACCCTGAACCCTAAATCTCAGGAAAGCCTTGGAGAAGCATCAGCTGCGGGGCTGCTCAGCAACGTCAGCGCCAGAGGCTAAAAACAAGCTGGCCAGAAGCGACATGGCGGCAGCGTAAGGTTTAAGGGCTTAGGGTCTACCTGAACCCCAACAGTATGTAAGATAGTGGCTTTTTGGGCTGTTTTTAGTGATGTAGGGCTATTGATTTACATACTTTTGGGGTCCAGGTAGGTACTTGAAGTCATATAAGTTATATAGTCTACTGTCAAAATCAGCCTTGTTAAAGGACCCTTAGCAGTGGACATAGGGGTCCCCCTTATAGTTTAGTTTAGTAAGTCTCGCGACTATTCAGGAACCCATGTCCACAAATTATTTGAGAAAGATTGCCTGTGTCTCATACAGGGATGTTGCATCAGAAAACCCGCAGTGCAGGCATGTGGTGGGATTCGAGTTCAGGTGTAGTGTTTGCGGATCTTACCCCGTAATGCACAATGAATGGGAAAAGCAATGGACAATTTTATGGAGATGAATGGCGTCTGGGCAAGATGAAATGGAATCGGGATATGTTTCAATGGAAAAGGAAGTGGAACATGAAAAGGACTCTGGGTATGGCTGCTGGTGCTGCTGGTATAGCGATGTACTCATCCTCCCGCGCACAGGTAGAAGGACTAGTGCCCTAAGGGTCCAAGTACCGAATAATCATATACTTGCCGAAAAATCTCAACTATAATTCCCATTGCCCAAAACCCATGGATCTAACCACGGGTACTTGGACCCTATGGAATATTTCGCAAAACTAAACCCTAAACTCCTAAACCCTAGACCCTAGACCCTAAACCCTAACAAAGCAGGATGACATGGAGGTCCTATTGTCGGCCTGAAGCCTTGAGGGAACTATCAAATCACTCCCCTAAACCCTAAACTAGGCATTGGAGACAAGGTGCGAAAGGGTGGCACAACAAAAAAGCCTAGGCTATGCAAAAAACAAGCTAGGCAATCCTAAGCCCTTAAACCCTTAAACCCTAAACCCGTTATCCTTACAATATGTGGGCTTCTCACGCCACAGGCCTTACCACTTCGTTGACCCCAACATGTGCGCGGCGGTGGTCTCAACCCAAGATTCAGAAGGAGAAGGGGTGATGGGGCAAGGAGTGAGAAAGGGTTTAGGGTTAAGGGTTTGGGGTTTAGGGTTTAGGGTTTAAGTTGATGGCTATCATAGTCTTAACAAGCAGTTGTGTTTCGAATTGAAGTATACCATCCTGCTTCGGGCACCACAGTCCTTGCTCGCAAAAGCACCACGAGGAGAGCTCTGAGAGTTTGCGCCAGCGCCAGCGGCCTGATACCTGGGATCTCAGTAGCTCACTGAATCTGGATCAATGTTAGGGATCCTTTATACTTTTTGGTGTATGGGATTCCCCATATTTATGTAAAAAGGATCCTTTTTTCTTCCTAGGCTAATGTGGGCTAAGGAATGTGGACTTCAGCCAAGATCTCAGCCTTTTCGCAAGGCCAGGATTGTTTTTGGGGTAATATTGGGGTTAATGGAGAATCAAATGGAAAAGAAAATGGAAAATGAAATGGAAACTAGGGATATAGGGTAATATCCAGAGTAGACCCATAGGCAACCGTCAGCCACAGGCCCGAGACTGCATTGTAGAGTCACCTCCAGATACAAGCGACCCAAAATCCACAGCATTTGCCATCATTATTTTTGTTATCACTATTGCTACTATCATTGTTATTGGCTCCGCCGGAGCG